TATGCTGCCTTCAGGAAACACATCTCAGCTCGAAAGACAAACACAGGCTCAGAGCAAAGGGATGGAAGATGATACTCCAAGCCAATGGCAAACAAAAGAAAGCAGGTCTTGCAATACTTCTATCAGACAAAGTAGACTTCAACATAAGACAGGTAAAGAGAGACAAAGAGGGGCAGTATATAATGATCAAAGGGACACTCCACCAAGAAGAAATAACACATGAATATCTATGCACCCGACACAGGAGCACCAAAGTACATAAAGCAACTATTAACAAACCTAAAAGGAGACATTAATAATAACACAATAACAGTAGGGGACCTCAACACTCCAATCACATCAATGGACAGATCATCCAGACAGAAAATCAACAAGAAAACAGTGGAATTCAATGAAAAGCTAGACCAGATGGACTTAATAGACATATATAGAACACTCCATCCAAAAACAGCAGAATACACATTCTTCTCAAGTGCACACGGAACATTCTCAAGGATAGACTATATGTTGGGAAACAAGGCAAGCCTTAATAAATTTAAGAAGATTGAAATAATAACAAGCGTCTTTTCCAATCACAATGCTATAAAACTAGAAATTAATTACAAGAAAAAACTGAGAAAAGGACAAAGATGTGGAAATTAAAGAACTTGCTATTGAACAACAAATAGATCATTGAAGAAATTAATGGAGAAATCAAAAAAATATCTGGAGACAAATGAAAATGAAAACATACCATGCCAACTCATATGGGATGCAGCAAAAGCCGTATTAAGAGGGAAATGCATCGCAATACTGGCTCACCTTAACAAACAAGAAAAAACCCAAATAAGCAATCTCAAACCACACCTAATTGAATTAGAAAAAGAAGAACAAACAAAGCCCAAAGTCAGCAGGAGAGAAATAATAAAAATCAGAGCAGAAATAAATGCTATTGAAACAAAAAGGGCAGTGGAAAGGATCAATGAAACAAAGAACTGGTTCTTTGAGAAGATAAACAAAATTGACAAACCCCTAGCCAGACTTACAAAGAAAAAAAGAGAGAAGGCTCAGATAAATAAAATTAGAAATGTAAGAGGAGAAATAACAACAGATACCATAGAAATACTGTGGATTATAAGAGAATACTGTGAAAAGCTATATGCCAACAATATGGACAATCTAGAGGAAATGGATAAATTCTTAGACTCTTACAACCTCCCAAAGCTGAATCAAGAAGAAACAGATAATCTGAATAAACCAATCACAAGTAAAGAGATGGAAACAGTAATCAAAAACAGCCAAAAGAATAAAAGCCCAGGACCAGACAGCTTCCCTGGGGAATTCCACCAAACTTTCAGAGAGGATTTAATACCTGTCCTTCTCATGCTATTCCAAAAAATTAGGGAAGATGGAACGCTTCGTAACACATTCTATAAGGCCAACATCACTCTGATACCAAAGCCTGACAAAGACAACACAAAAAAGGAGAACTACAGGCCAATATCGCTGATGAATATAGATGCAAAAATCCTCAAAATATTGGCAACCCAAATACAGCAATACATCAAAAAGATCATACAGCGTGATCAAGTGGGATTTATTCCAGGGAAACAGGGATGGGTGAACATCTGCAAATCAATCAGTGTGATACACCATATTAACAAAATGAGGAATAAAACCCACGTGATAACTCAGTAGGTACAGAGAAAGCATTTGACAAGATCCAACAGCCATTTATGATAAAAACTCTTAACAAAATGGGGATAGAAGGAAATTATCTCAACATAATAAAGGCCATATATGACAAACCCACAGCCAACATCTATTCAATGGGGAAAACCTGAACACCATCCCTCTGAGAACAGGAACAAGACAAGGTTGCCCACTATCATCATTCTTACTCAGCATAGTACTGGAGGTTTTTGGCCAGAGCAATTAGGCAAGAGAAAGGAATAAAAGGAATCCATATAGGGAGTGAAGAACTGAAATTCTCACTGTTAGAGAACCCTAAAGAATCCATCATAAAACTATTAGAAATAATTAACAACTACGGTAAAATTGTGGGCACCAAAATCAACTTAGAAAAATCAATTGCATTTCTGTACTCTTAACAACGAACTTAGAGAAAGAGAAGTCAAGAATACAATTCCTGGGGGACTAGCCCCATGGCCAAGTAATTAAGTTCACGTGCTCCACTTTGGTGGCCTAGGGTTTCCCTGGTTCGGATCCTGGGCATGGACACGGCACCGCTCATCAGGCAGCATCCCACATAGCACAACCAGAGGCACTCACAACTAGAATATACAACTATGTACTGGGGGGTTTTGGGGAGAAGGAAAAAAAATATTGGCAACAGTTGTTAGCTCAGGTGCTAAATCTTTAAAAAAAATTGAGAAATAAATCTTTGTTAAAAAAAAATACAATTCCATTTACAATAGCAAAAAAAGAATAAAGTACCTAGAAATAAATTTAACTAAGGAGGCAAAGGACTTATACAATGAAAACTATAAGACATTATTGAAGGAAATAGATAATGACATAAAGAGATGGAAAGAGATTCCCTGCACATAGGTTGGAAGAGTAAACATAGTTAAAATGTCCATACTACCCAAAGCAGTCTACAGATTCAGTGCAATCACAATCAGAATCCCAATGACATTCTTCATAGAAATGAAGCAAAGACTCCTAAAATTCATATGGGGCAACAAAAGACCCTGAATTGCTAAAGCAATACCGAGAAAAAAGAACAAAGCTGGAGGCATCATCATCCCTGACTTCAAAATGTATTACAAAGCCACAGTGATCAAAATGTCATGGTACTGGTACAAAAACAGGCAAACAGATCAATGGAACAGAACTGAAAGCCCAGAAATAAAACCACATATCGGTGGACAGCTGATCTTCTACAAAAGTGCCAAGAACATACAATGGAGAAAAGACAGTCTCTTTAATAAATGGTATTGGGAAAACTGGACAGCCGCATGCAAAAGAGTGAAAGTAGACCATTATCTCATGCCATACACAAAAATAAACTCAAAATGGATCAAAGACTTGAAGATAAGTCCTGAAACCATAAAACTCCTAGAAGATAATATAGGGAGTACACTCTTTGACATTGAACTTAAAGTTAAAAGGATCGTTTCAAATACCATGTCTTCTCAGACCAAGGAAACAAATGAACAAAATAAACAAGTGGGAGTTCATCAGACTAAAGAGCTTATGCAAGGCAAAAGAAACTAGAATCAAAACCAAAAGACAACCCACCAATTGGGAGAAAATTTTTGCAAATCATATATCCAATAAGGGGTTAATCTCCATAACGTATAAGGAACTCACACAACTCAACAACAATAAAACAAACAGCGTGATCAAAAAACAGCAGAGGATATGAACAGACATTTTTCCAAAGAAGATATACAGATGGCCAATAAACACATGAAAAGATGTTCAACACCGCTAATCATCAGGGAAATGCAAATCAAAACTATAAGATGACACCTGTTAAAATGGCTATAATCGCTAAGACTAAAAATAACAAATGTTGGAGAGGGTGTGGAGAGAAGGGAACCCTCATACACTGCTGGTGGGAATGCAAACTGGTGCAGCCACTATGGAAAACAGTATGGAAATGCCTCAAAAAACTAAAAATAGAAATACTATATGACCCAGCTATCCCACTACTCAGTATCTCCCCAAACAACTTGAAATCAACAATCCAAAGTAACATATGCACCCCTGTGTTCATTGCAGCACTATTCACAATAGCCAAGACATGGAAACTATCCAAGTGCCCATGGACTGATGATTGGATAAAGAAGATGTGGTATATATACATAACGGAATACTACTCAGCCAGAAAAAAAGACAAATTCATCCCATTTGCAACAACATGGAAAGACCTGGAGGGAATCATGGTTACCAAAATAAGCCAGACTGAGAAAGACAAATATCAGATGATTTCACTTATATGTAGAATATAAACAAACACATGGACAAAGAAAACAATTCAGTGGTTACCAGGGAAGGGGGTTGGGGAGTAGGCACAGGGAATGAAGGGAAGCACCTGTGTGGTGACAGACAAGAAATAATGTACAACTGAAATTTCACAATGATGTAAACTGTTACGAACTCAAAAAATTTAAAAAAAATAAAGCAAAAGAAATGACTTATTGATACATTCAACTATATGAATAAATACCAGAATAATTATGCTGAATGAAAGAAGCTAGACCAAAAAAAGTATATTCTCTGTGATTCCATTCAAGACTAGAAAATGCAAACCAATCTACAATGATAGAAAGTAGGTCAGTGTTTGCCTGGGGATGGGGTCCAGAAATTATTGGACAGTGGGTTTATAAAGGAACATGAGAAAACCTGGGAGTATGTCCGTGCTAATTATCTTGATTGTGGTGATAGTTTTAAGGGTGTATGTGATGTGTATGGTATCATTGATGTATGCATATATCAAGACTTAAACTGTAAAGCTTATTGTATGTCAATTATAACTTGTTTTATAAATATGAATTGATTTATAAGTTAATGTCAAAATAAGAAAAGAATCAACCCCCAATGGTTAGTCTGTATGGTGGATATACAAGTTAATACATTGAAATGCTCCATGAAGAAACGCTAAGTATATGATAGTTTAATAGGATGATTTCTAAAAAAAGAAATCATTATGAATACCTGGAAGGTTAGGGAGTTGGGGAAGGAAGGATGAGAAAGCATTTAAGTAAGAACCATTTGAGACACTCTTGTCCTTTTCTTACTGGTGTGGTGAGTGGAAAGTATATTTGATGTGTCAGTGGAAAGTACCTTTTTCCTCTTCATTTTACCTTCCATTGTTTCTTTTGCATGAAACCCTTCCTAAGTATTAGGGAATAATTCAAGGTGGTTGCCCCTGGCCCAGAGATAACGAATTTGAATCCAAGGCATAAATTTTCAAGTTCCATCTCTTAACATCCTACTGAAAATGCCATTTACTCTTAGTCTGCCTAATCCCCATGGCTTGTTCTCCTCAGTCCTACACACCTCCAAGCAACGAGTTCAAGATCAGCATGAAATTGGAAGCACAGGACCCCAGGAACACCACATCCACCTGTATTGCCACAGTAGTTGGACTGACAGGTGCTCGCCTCCGCCTTCGCCTTGATGGCAGCGACAACAAGAATGACTTCTGGCGGCTAGTTGACTCCGCTGAAATCCAGCCTATTGGGAACTGTGAGAAGAATGGGGGTATGCTGCAGCCCCCTCTGGGTGAGTAACTAGACCCAAGCTCTCCTTAGCAAATTGGTTATCTTCCTAAAATTGTACATCCTGTTGTGGGAAAGCCTAGGGTTCCCTGCCTATCCCTTCTTTTTCATATAGTCCAGAAGAAAAGGCCCACCCAAAATTAAATGAGCCATAAAATCTGGACGTCTCCATCTCTACATTAACTCAGAATATCCAGGCTTCTCTTAAGCTCTCATTTTTCTAAGAAACCATACCGTTCATTCTTTGTCAGTTCCCATGTGTTCTGAGAGAGAGAATGGGAGCAGGTCTTTCCTTTTAACCTGCCTCAAAAAACCATGGAGCTTTCACCAAATCCTACAATAATAACAGGAGGTGAGGGGAAAATCTCCCAGTAGAAAGGATGACTGTGATAAGAGTTCCTTATCTCTTTTCCCCTAAGTTCTCACTTGGTCCTTCGAATTTTCTCGCTTTGAATATATTATTAAGTAAAATACATTATTTTATTTAAACTAATAACCCCAGTAGATTTTTCTCCTCAAGATCAGATTCTTCTTTTTTTTTTCTTTTTGCCTCAGTATACCTGACTGATTTAGCCCATCTCATCAACTGCTATCAATCGCTATTGCAGTGAGTCTCGATGGAGGCTAGAGAGAGGGGTTATTGGCTGTGGGCTGTGTTCCCCTCAGGAGGCTGTGCTAGATTAATTGAGTATTAGAGGACACATATCATTTGAAAGAGCTCCCCAAGTGATTGTTTAACATTTTCCCCATTAAAAAAAATTATATGTGGGGCCATCCCTGTGGCACAGTGGTTAAGCTTGCACGTTCCTCTTTGGCGGCCAGGGGATCGCCGGTTCAGACCTTGGGTGTGGACCTATGCACTGCTTGTCAAGCCATGCTGTGGCTGGCATCCCACATATAGAGTAGAGGAAAATGGGCATGGATGTTAGCTCAGGGCCAATCTTCCTCAGCAAAACGAGGAGGCTTGGCAGCAGATGTTAGCTCAGGGCTAATCTTCCTTAAAAAAAAAAATTGTGTATAACAAAATTTCAAACATAAACAAAAGTAGAAAGAATAGCACAGTGAATGTCCATATATCCTTTATCCTTGATAATTATCAATATGTAGTCAATCTGGTTTTATTTGTACCTGTACACACTCCCTGGCCCCTTCTGCTCAAGTCCCAAACATAGTATCATTTATCATTAAATATTTTGTATGTATCTCTCATGGATAATGTTTTTTAAACATAATCATAATAACATTATCACATGTAAATAAACTAATGATAATTCCTTAATGTCAACAAATGTTTACTCAGTGTTTAAATTTTCCCTATTGTCTGTCTGCCTCTCTCTATCTCTCTGTGTCTCATAGTTTCTTTGAATCAGGATCCAAATAAGATCCACATATTGCAGTTGGTTGATATGTCATTTAAGTCTCTTTTAATCTATGGGTTCTCATTCTCTCTTTTATTTTTTCTCACAGTTTATTTGTTGAAAAATGAAAGTCGTTGTCTTTAAAATTTCCCACAATTAGGTTTTGCTGATTTATCTGTGTGGTATCATTTAACGTGTTTCTCTGTCCTTTCTTTCCTGGAAATTGGTAGCTAGATCTAGAGGCTTGATCAGGCTCAGGTTCAATTTTTTCATGAGAATATTTCATAGGTGGTGGTGTTTACTTCTATTAGGAATCATATATGGCCTTGTTGTCTCTCATTTTGTAATGTAGAGGCCATTAATGCTTGTGGGCTGGATCAGGGGTTGACCGATTTTCTTAGAGGGCCAGATAGTAAATATTTCAGGCTTATGGGCCATACATTCTTTGTTGCAACTAGTCAACTTTGTCCTTGTAATGCAAAAGCAGCCATAGGCAATACATGAAAAAATGGGCAAGGCTGTGTGCTAATAAAATTTTATTTATAAAAAGAGATGGCGAGCATGCTGGCTATAGTTTCCTAACCCCTGATTTAGATCCATCAATTCATTATGGTTGAAGAATAGGAAATTTTAATCTTATCATTCCATCCAAAAAAATTAAGTGGAATATGTCTATTAAAATAAACTTTCATCCACTATTTGGTTATCCTGAGGTCTAATTCATGCAGAAAAGATAATTTAAATGCTTGATTCTTTATTTATCAATTTTTAAAATAATGAATTGGCTTATTAGCACCCTCCAAAAATACTTAGGACAGTTTTGTTTTCATTGTGTAATATCATAAACTCAAGGATTCATACATATTTGATGTGTTTCACTCCATTGCACTAATTGTTCTTATTGATTCTTGAATTGTCCCACTTTGGCCTCATAGGAGCCTCATCAAGTTGTCTCCTGACTCTTTATTATTTGACTGCTCTCTTGGATTTGTGAAATTTCAAAGTGTTCCAGGCTCGTCTTGTACATTTCCTGCTCCAAATATGCAATCAGCTATTTCTTTTAGGTGCCTGGGCTCCTTTCAGTGGGAAATGGTACTAAGAGACCATAATCTGGGCACTAGAGTGCTCAGTGCTACTGGGTTGGTCATTCTTTCTAGGTATTTTTGGTATAGAGAGGTAAGAACTGCCTTTTTAAAATTATTAAGGCAAAAAATCATTGATTTGTATTGATACTTCCTACTAGAATTCAGGACAATGGTGTTTTTACTTACTTCATCTTTAATGTCTTAAATCTGCATCTCCTTTGTACCACAGTAAAATCTTAGTTCTCTTTGTCACTAACAAAATAACTCATTTGCTTCCTGCTACAGTACATGTACAACAGTCTCAGAATATCAATGCCAATACTGCCGCCATTATGATTACTGACAGTGTTTGAGTTATTTGCATTTCTTTTTTTCTTACCCTCTTGGGAAATATAGTCAATGATGTGTTATAAGGTCATTGGATCAGTTTCTGTCTCAGTGGCAGTGCCACCACCTTGATGTAAACAAGGTCATTTGTTTCATTTTATTTTTTATTTTTAGAGATAGTCTAAAAAAATTTTTCCATTATAAATATGTAAGTGATATACATCATTCTTAAAGTCAAATCTATAAAACAATACATTCAGAGAAATCTCCTTCACCTTATTCCTTTCTTCTGCCATAGGTAACCACTTTCTTTTAATTTTATAGCTTATACTCGATTTTTTAAATATATAAACAAATATATCAGTGTGTGTGTGTGTGTGTGTGTGTACATATTTTTAAACACATTTGTATCCTTCACCTTGTTATATAAATGACAACGTACTATACATACTTTTCTCAGCCTTGCTTTTTTCATTTAATAATATGTCCTAAAGATGACTTCTTAGTGGTATGGAGATATTCCTCATTCCTTTTTATAGCTTCATAGTACCGTATTGTTCCCAGCTTACTTTATGAATCACTGTTTAGAAGCATCTTGATAGGCTATTTAAAAATAGAGGTTCCCAGGGATAATGGTGATCATCTAAATAAAAATCTTTCCATAAATTCTCCAGAAACATACAGATCAAAAAGGAAATCAAACCACCCATAACTCATGCCTAAACATAACTGAGTCAAGAATACCACAAATTTCAATTACATGTTGTCTACATGTTCAGATATAAAGATCTGAAACCACTAGAGCTAGTACCCAACCATACCAAAAGGAAGAGTCTTATGTACCCAATTGCATAGCAAAGGGAGAGAGCAATGGGGGCCTCACAGCCAGAATCACCCCCAGGAAAAGATAGTCCCATCCAGAGTGGGAAATACTAGAACAAAGCTCAGACCTTCTTAATTAGAGCATTGGCCACTGGGGAATGAGAAGGAAGAGAGTGAATTGAAAGTGTGAGAGACTTTTAGATAGCAGCCTTGGGAAGAGGACTGCCTTGCGGGCAGAGGCAGACATAGTGTTGAAGCAAGGGGTGGTAACTGAGAGTCATACGGAAACAAAAGAGAATTATAAAATCGAAAGACATACCAGTCTCCCATCGCATCCCAAACAGCCTCGTCTACTAAAGAAACTGCATTTCACTATACCAACAGAAAACTCATGACCCAAGTTCCTTGCCAAGATAGAACCTCCTGTTTTTGCTGGTCCAGGAAAATATAAGACATTTTAAATGATTAGGCAATAGCAGTAAATATCCATAAAAGGCTTCTATATAAAGAAAAACAGAAGATGAGCATGAAACCACTTTACTGAAAATTCTACTGCCAAAATCAGTGACTAACCAGAGGAAAACTATTGTCCAACAACCCAACTTGAATTAAACAGGTATTGACAGAGATGGAAAATTACCTTGAATCATAAATTTTAAAAATCAGACTAGACATGCACAATAGACAGGAAGATGTGAAAATAGAATTATCCACACTCAGGGAAAAAAACTGAAGACAAAGTAACCTCAGTTGAAGACTCCATTCCAAGGTGCTCAGTGGGACAGTAGCTTCAACTGAAAATATGATAAGGGACGTTGAGGAGAGAAATAAAAACAGCCCAGAGGATAAATATTAGAAAAGGTTTTTAAAAGGTATCAGAAAGGAACTGTTAAATATAGAACATAGTCAACAAAGATGCAGTGTGTATATGTATGTGCGCACATAGAATTGGAGTCCCTAAAGAAGATAAACAAAACAGTGAAACAGAGTTAATACTTAAAATTGTAATACAAGTTTTCCAAAAGTTAAGGAAGACCTGAACCTACATAGTGAAAGGGCGTACCTTATTCCTGGGAAAATTGGTTCAGATGGCCAACTCTAAGATAGATTCCAGTAAAACTACTGCACTCTAAGAGTAAAGAATTCCTCTAAGCTTCCAAGCAAAAAGGCCAAATTATTTACAAGGGAAAGTCAGGTTTGCATCATACTCCTCAACAGCTAAGCATAAAGCAAGATGAATTGGAGCAACATTTTCAAGAAATTTCAAGGAAAGAAAATGAGAGCAAGGGCTTTATATCTAGGCAAGCTGTTTTCCAAGTATTGAGATTATATGAAACAGTTTTCAGCATGCAAGAACTCAGGAAATAGTGTAACCCCAAGCCCTGCCTGAGGAATCAGTTACAGAAAGAGCT